CTTCAAAACAGGACAGTTTCTTTCTGCACTGCCTGGGACTGCAGCCTGCACAGGCAGGTGCCCATGGAAGTGCTCTGCCTCCTTCCACTAGTGACACAGTAAATCAGGTATTTCTTCAGATATATCAAGCACTGAAGAGGCAAGTGCCCTTTCTGTCTTACCAACATCTAATCACACGAGAAAGTATCTTGGCAAGTAAACATTGTCTCTTTCCAAAGGGGTGCTAAGGGAGAGGTCATTTTTTCTCCTTCCAAAATCCTCTGGTCACTTCTGCTGAATTCAGTAACTGAAGAGAACTCAACACTGATCAGCTAAAATAGATACTGTTCTAAAAACATTTTTCCTTCTTTATTTTCAGCTGTTCCATATTGATTTTGGTCACTTTTTGGGGAACTTCAAGACTAAATTTGGTATTAACAGAGAACGAGTTCCTTTCATCTTAACCTACGACTTTGTGCACGTCATCCAGCAAGGAAAAACTAACAACAATGAGAAGTTTGAAAGGTGAGTGCTGGGAGTGGAAAACTGACTTCAGCTTTTTAATCTCTGCATTTTTAGAATTTATTTCCAGCAATATGTAGCCTGTACACGTGAAAGTAAGTAAATTATCATCTACCTGTTGGAGAAGGTGACAGAGCTGGGTATCATCCATGGAGACAGCAGGGTTCAGACTGATCTGTAGCTTTGCTTTATAAAGTGGCAGAGTTTGCAGTGTTCACTCCTTTGCCATCTCTCTTTCAGGTTCAGGGGTTACTGTGAGAGAGCCTACATGATCCTGCGGCGCCACGGGCTCCTCTTCCTGCACCTCTTTGCACTGATGAAAGCTGCTGGTCTGCCAGAGCTCAGCTGCTCCAAGGACATCCAGTACCTAAAGGTGAGAGAGGCAGAGCCCAGGCAGGGGGAAAATCTACACCTGATCCTGTGGCTCAGGGAGGAGGAGTCAGTGTGGAAGGTGTATTAGAAGCAGAAAGAAGGAGTAGATGCAGGACATGGGAAATGCCAGGTACTGGTGCTCAGGAAATCACTGGAGGTTCTTCATCCTGAGGGCAGCAGGTACCTTCTAGAACCAGTTTGCAGGGAAGGAGACAAAGGCCTTTGGCTGTGCATCATTTCCTGGTCCCAGTTTGCCCCTTAAGTGATGACCACACATCCCTGGCCAGCTGCAGGACAGCATCTTTGTAATCAGCAGAGTGGAATGGAAGCATTTTATTAGTGAAAAACCTCATGCAACTAAAGTAACCATTAAAAAACATTAATGGCTGTTCCCTTCCTACTCCGTGCTCCTTTCAATGGGGTAATATCTTAATGAGTACACATCTTACTAGTTGAGCTGCTAATTGCTCACAGTGAGGCCACACTGAATTGTTCCTCTCACCTCCAGGACTCCCTGGCTCTTGGGAAAACCGATGAGGAGGCACTGAAGCACTTCAGGCTAAAGTTCAATGAAGCCCTGCGAGAGAGCTGGAAAACCAAAGTGAACTGGCTGGCACACAACGTGTCCAAGGACAACAGGCAGTAGAGCAGCAGAGCACAGCCCTGCTCCAGGGCCACAACACCCGCACTGAGCCCAGCCAGGCAGACAGGCTGTTAGGGAAAGACTGGGGGAAGTTGCAGAGTTGAAGATCCCCCACCTGCATTCCCAGAGATCAGACATTGCTCCATGACTGAAAAACTGCTGGCCTGTCCTCAGCCACACCCCCGTGGCTGCTGTAGAGCTTTGGGGGACAAGGGAGAGACGTGAGGCAATAAAATTACTGCGTACAGTGAAAGGTAGGTAGAGGTGCTGTACCCTTAAGAACTCATTAAGCTTCAAATACATCTTCTAATGGAAGAGTTGAGGCAGTTGTAACATCCTTCCAGTGTGCTAATGTCTGTATTTATATTTTCTTGAGAATTTAGCTGAACAGAGGACCTCCCCCCCATCCCTGTAACCCATCTTGCAGGTCACCACCATTACAGCTCAGAGGCTTTAACTTCAGCACTGCCCTGTGTCACTGTCCACCAAGGGGGGGATCAGTTTAAAGAGCCCTGAAGCTGTCTTGGACAAATGGTTTTACTCTGCATTGTGACAGGATAAAGATACTCACACTGTCATATTGCTTTCTGTCTGCTCCAGAGGCCAAAGTGTTCTCAAACTGAGCTGGAACTCAGCTGTTGCTGGACAAAACTGAGGCCACAACAGCAGGTTCAGTGGCCACTGGATCAGGTAGTTTCTTTGCTTTCCCAAGTCAGGCTTTAGTTGAGCCTCAAGCAGTTCCTGCATTTATTTTGGTTTTAAGCCTGAAAACAGTAAGACTGCATTTTCCAAAGGGGCATGGAATGTTTGTGGCTCCAAGTGCCTCCTGCTGGGGTACATTAAGAGCTGGTTTGCCACCTGGTCTCCCTGTACCATGTGTGTGCAGGGCAGTGCCCCACACCTACACAGTCCCTGGGATCCAACACTCAGCTCCAGAGGCAGCTGGCACAGATGGCACCGTTCTGTGCCCGAGCTGTTGGGCCAGACTGCCCTCCTGTGCAAGGAGTGCCAGGATGAGTGGGTTTAACACTGAAACACTTACAGCAAGTTGCATCTCAACTCCCATCTTCTTGCAAATGTATTTCCTGTTCTTTTCCCCCCTCTTCCTCCTCCCAGCCACAGTCCAGACTCCTGCCCTGCTCTGAGAGCTGCTGGCAAGGGCTGGGGGTGTGGGGGGGCTCAGCTGTGCCGGTGCCTGAATTGGGACACAGTGTCTCCTCCAGCCTCCTCCCCTTCCCATGGCCTCCTCAGCCTCCTTCCCCTCTCCCACAAGGTGCTGGGATCAATCCCACAGTTCTGCTGTCACAGCTCTGTCTCCAGGTCATGGCCCCACCAAGAGCAGCTCTGGGTGCTGGGCTTGCCCAGGGACAGGGAGCAGGAGCCACTGCTGGACACAGGAGGGTGGGCAGGACCTGCTTCCTCTGCCAGTTCCTTGGGTCCTTCCTTCATTTCCCCACACCCTCAGGTTCCTGTGGAGGTACCACCATTCCTGCCCTCTCAAGGAACAGCAAAGTCTAATTCTCAAGACACCCCCAAAGCTGAATCCTGTACTTCACTTGTTTGCCTTTAATTAGGTTCACTGTAAAGTGTTTTTTAAACTCTTTCACTCCTCTCATGTAGGTAAAAATAGAGGCATTGCAGATCCTGGTTCTCAGGTAACAACAGGTACATGTGTTGTCAAATGATGGACTAGACTCTCATAAATTTAGCATTCAAGTCTGCTTTAAAATTCCCACAGAAGCAGCAAGTTCAGGAGACTGAACTGGCCTGTTTAATAAATCTTCCCTTCATGATCTAAATTTGATTTGATTTTTGCACCCAGCACATGGGTGCAACTCATTCCTGACTTTCAGCTCTGTTTGATAATCAGGTACCCCAGTACTTTAAAATTAAAAAATACTGCCCTAGAATGGCTGTTTAAGTCCCCCTTTTTTGTTTAAGGGGATCAGTTCAAATCTGTCAGCTGTGCAGCTGGTGAAGAGCAAAGTTAACACTGCTTTATAAAACAGTAACTTTTTCTGTAAGAAGAAATAAATAGTAAGTAATGCCAAGTTTGGTCAGTGAGGGGAATCTGAAACACCTGGAATAAACCCTTCTCTACCTTTATATCCCAACAGGCACTAGCAGTGTTACAGTTTCTAATCTAAATTGTGGTTTAAAGTACTTACTGTGTCTTTTCATAGAAGATATTAAGCTGTGGGGTCTGGTCTGTTCTGGTTTGTACCTATTCAGACAAACCAAGTTCCCTCTCGAGCACCTGTTGGTAGAAGCAGCAGTTCTGGCCTAGAAAACACTTGATTTTAGTTTTATGTAACCCTTTTCCTGCACCTTTCCAATGATCCTGGGTGTGACTGAAGCAGCACTCAAGCTCTGACAGCTGTTTTGGTACTAGAAGGAAATCCTGCAGGATTGAGAGCTCTTTGCAGGCTGATCAGACAGTGAGAACACGCCCTGTGCCTCTGCTCCATTTCAGAGAATAAATATTGCTGTTTCTTTCCTTATTGAACTAATTTACAGAGCAAAAAGTGTGCCCCAGGCAAGGTGAGATGCACTGAACCCACCCCCTGATCAGGTTTGTACGTTCCTGTGGAAGGGAAGACACTACAGTTCTGTGCCTGGAAAAGCAATTCTCTTGCATTGCCACAACCTGCTCTTCCAGGAGCCTCTGATGTGCCTGGTTTCCAGGCTCCCAGCAGGAACCTCAGGCGCTAATCAGAGTTTTCCAGCAGTGGCTCCTGTCCCCTGTCCTTCAGTGTGAGAAGTGCAATAAGACAAAGGTGTCTCAGTGTCAGTGCAGGGACTGAGCAATTCCCCAGGGGTTTCTCCACCCGGCCCAGTTTCACAGAGGTTACTCAGTCTGGAAACTTGACTTACCCACAAGAAGTAAAAATCCAGTGAGTCATCACGTGGACCTTCTTCCTTGGACACTCCTGGAAGAGCATCTTTGTTGAAGCTCTGATGGGTCAGCAAAGAGCCTTTGACTCCAAATCCACAAAGCAGCAGCTCCTCACCTGATGGTTTTGAGCCAGTGAATTGTACTGAAGATTCAAACTTAAATCACTTGCAAAAATATTCCATTTCACCATAAATAAGTGGCTTCTCATTTTATAAATATGCTCAGAATGATAGACCTATTTCTATTTATTTAGAGATGTTTCTGTCATTTTTTTTTAACTCACTCTGTACAAACTGATTGTGCTTATTCTGTTGCCTTTGAAAAAAAGAAGTATTTTTTTAAGCCAAACTGTGGTTCTGCGAAAAGAGAATGTTTACATGTTTAACTTTTCAGTTGCTTTAGGTACATGTTTTGTAAGTAAAAAATAAAAAATATTGATAAATTGTCCACAGATGCTGCCGAGTCTTTCTGTGCTTGAGATCAACGAAAACAAAGACTCCTCCTCCCCCAGCAGAGGCAAATTAACACTCAGTTTATATTATTTGATTCTACTTTGTTCCACTCGGGAAAAAATAAATGCAAACAACCTTTAGAACCAGAAATTTATTGTAGCTTATAGACTTTCCAAACTGACCTGTTACCAATATACACATCTGAAAAGTTATACCCACAGTGGCTACAAACTGCATCAGGACGTTACAACCCCTCAGTATTACCATTAAGTCATGATCAGTTTTGGTCTAAAATACAGCAGCTACAGCAACAGTATATGGAAGGATAAGTCTTCTACACATTAACACAGGACAACTGTCAGACATAAGTTAAAAGTTTCCCAGTTTACTTAAAACTAGCAGTTAATTACCACGTAAGTAGTCAAAACCATTTTCCCATTTTAGAAATCTAAAATTTTACATTTAAAAAAAACCCCAAAACAACCCCAAAAAAACGGTAAGCTCTGGTGTGGGTTCTCTTCCCTGCTTCCAGGTCCATCTCCTATTGTAAAGGCACTCCACAGTCAAGGCTCCCCCGGATCAAACCCACCACAGGTCCTGTTACACCACGAGGTGAGAACAGGTCTGCTCTGAAAAGCAAACTGTACCGAGCATTTGGAACAGCCCTTAATCTTTTATCTCTCTCGGTTAATTAGGACCCTTTGTGCCCCACCCTTTGGCTCCTCTGGCACCGTCCCCAGTGCCCCTGGCCCTGCTGTGTGTGACACGTGTGGGCTCTGCACCCACCAGCAAACACTGGAGCTTGGCTTACCGTGCTGAGGAGGGAATGCAGTCCCAGGCTCCTGTTACAAGCAAAACAAGTTACTCTTTAATCCACCTCCATAGAAATCAAGCAGAAATTCATTATTCAAGACTCTGCATAAGACCAAAGAAAGTTAAACGAGCCCTGCCTGACAGAAAAACCAGCGCTCCCCACCCCGGGGCAGCAGCACTTTCGTACCTTCCAGCTTTTGTCCTTTGCAGTCCCAAGTCAGAACTGTGATGGAAAACAATCCCAGTCAGCTCCACTTGGAATAACAGTAACATGATTCCCAAGGTTTTCTGGTTGGGTGATTTATGCTACAGTTTTTCACCAGCAGGAAAACACAATTACTAAGTGTAAACAAAGGCTTAAAACACCGACAGTCCGAGTTACTGTACAAGGGGCTGCAGGGGAGGAGCAGGAGTGGTCAGTGGGATCAGCTACACCCCAAATCCTCCCCCTGCCAAATCAGAAAAAAAATGAACAACTAAAAAAACCCCAAACCCCTATTTACGTAGACCGGTAGCCAAGGTGCACAGGTCCCCAGGGCTCAGGCTCTCCAGCTTCATTACAATCCATCACTTACAAACACCCACCCTGTCAGTACCAACAGCCCAGCACTGGACTACAGGCAGCCTCCCTGGAATTAACAGGAGCTGTGGCAACACCCCACAGCCCCATGGATCTGCCCACCATCCATGTAGTGTTTTTTTTCCCCAATAACTTAAAAGCCCTTATATGCCAAGACTTAATTGGAGAGGGAAAAGAAAAATTAAAAAAAAAAAAAAATAAAAAAATAAAAATGAAACCCCAACAACTGTATTGCACAGGGCAGCTGAACCTCTGCAGAGGCTCCTAAAGCCTTTACAATTTCTCACAAGCTTGTGTTCCCTCTGCAAAATAAAGGGGGTTAAAGAAAAGGAAGGAATTGAGGGAGAGCGGGGAGCGCACATCGAGTCAAGGCCAAGGACAGAGTTACTGAACATCTACACTAAGAACTGTGCCCGTGCTCCTGCTGCAGTAGGATGAGACTTGTAATAGTTCATGCTGCATGATTTTTCACTTTAGCGTGTTTTAAACCCCAATTCCCTGTTTTTCACTACCACAAATGACATAATTACATAATTCCAAGATATTTACAAAATATTAAAAAGTCTTGTTAATCTTCTACATATTAACCTCATTCTGCCACTTTACACATGCACTAATTCGGGGGGAAAAAAATTAAAAAGAAATCAACAGGCTGAAATGAGCAGCTTTACCCTTTGTCAACAAGCAATCTTTGCATCTTTTAGAAAGAGGAAAAAAAGGAATGAAGCCAAGTTTGTTTCACTGAGCAAAAAAAGACAGTTCAGAAATTCATGTGCAATGGCTACAGAGCTGTAGAGTCACTTAGCTGAGATGACATGAAGAAAAAAGTGCAAGGTGGTTCCTCACAGAGCGTAAAAAAAATCCAGTCACTGAGGCAAGGCTGAAGGAAGAGGTGCTAAACTACAACCCTAAACATCAGGGACTGACAGAACACAAACACGGGAGGTGGGGGAGTCAATCTACTGGCCAGAATGAATTTTTTTTGTTTTAAACACCATGAATCCTCGGTACCAATGGAGTGTGTTACAGTGGAGTCTTCTAGAGCGGGAACAGAAAGACAAAGGGAACAGCGGGAATCAATAGCTGAGGGTGGAGTCGTCCCATTCCAGCTGTTGCTGTCTATTAACATTCTGTTGGTCCTCCTCCTGCTCTCCCTCCTCCTCCTCGCTGCTTTCAGACTCTGCACTAGTGATGTCATCTTCTTCTCCATCTTCACTTTCTTCTTCCTCCTCCTCCTCTTCCTCTTCACTGCTGTGTTGGTCCTCATAAGTCTGTTAAAACAAAAATTAACTGTCATTACCACACTTGCCAAAATTCTTTTTATTCTTTATTCAAAGCACTGTGTTGACAAAGGGCTGTTGCAGATGCCTTGCTGGTTTTAAAAGCTCAGCAGGAATTAGGCAAGCAGAGAAGACAAAGGCAGGAGCACTCTGTGGAAGGGCTCTGTGACTCTGCTGTCAACCCTGGCCCTCTACACAAACTGATGCTGAAGGGTGACCTAGTCCTGCAAATTCTGCTGGAGAAGGATCTTGCAGTAGGACACACCAAGGAGGATTACAAACACGGATGTTTTGATGATAAATTCCTGCCAGTTTGGACCAGAACAGGCTGGTTAAGGCAGTGTGCAGCACGTGCTGGACACTGGCCTGCAAAATTCCATCTTGTATCATGAAGCTCTAACCCCTGCAAGATCCCAAATATAACTGCTCTTGGCATTTGGCACATTCATTCAAAATTCCCAGTCTCTGCTCTGTGCTCAGGGGTTGGTTCTGCTCTTCTCATCTGCCCATGGACAATCCCACCCCTTACAGACAGAAAAGGGCATTTTTGGTTCAGTGCTGAGCCCCAGCTCCACAGGGTTTTACCTCCATGGGGTTCACAGTGATGGTCAAAGCAGAGTCATCCCAATCCATCTCATTTTCCTTCCCAGTGTCCTGGTCACGCATCGTCCTCTGATGTGCAGCTCGGATCCTGAACACTCCCAGGATAATCATAAACACCAGGAAACTCACACAGACAACAATCACAACAGTGGCTGTGCTGGGAACAACTGCAAGGAGAAAAGAAAAGGGGTTCCTTACATGGCAGTGGTAACTCTTCCACAGTGCCAGTAACCATCACCTGCACTGTACAAATCCTACAGAGGCACTTTGGCCACAGCCACTTAAAAAGTCAGTTGGAGAGGAAGAACTAAACCTCAGTTCCTTAAATATAATTACATCAATCTGAAGGACTGAAAGCACATGGAAAGCAGATTCCACCACATGGACTCCTCTCTAAATTGCCTGTTTTTCTTCCTCTCACATCCTACACTCTTGCCAAATTAATGTAATTAAAACAGAAAGGGCAGACCCCATGAGTCATCAAGGGAATATCATTGCAGTTCTCTCCTCGTGCCATTCAGAAATACTGTCCCAGTTCCTCACAGCCCTTTATCAGGTCCCTTCCATTTTCCAACACACACACCAACAGAAAGTTCTTCTCCCAGCAGGAAAAGGAATCCTGGATCTCTTGGAATCCGGCCTGGGCAAGAGCAGAACAGGCCCGAGGAGCTGCCTGGATTAGCAGTCCAATACAGTGGTTTAAACTCTGGAAAAAACCCTCTCTGCAGCAAGAAGCCTGCTGGACATTTTAACAACAGAATACAACCAGCTCAACTTTACAGAGAATCCTGACCTGAAAAGGGGTGAGGGTTGGCCAAGTTGTGACCAGAGAGGTCCACAAAGGAATGATGCACGGGGTGAACGAACTGCGGCTGCGCCGCGATGTGGTTGGCGTGTTCCACGGGGCTGGCAGTGTGGATCACGTTCACCTGGGAACAGGGACAAAGGGTTAAACTCCAGAAATCCAACAAGTTTAGTTCTGAAGAGACAGAAATGAAAGAGAAAAAAAAAATTAAAACAACAACAAAAAATAATCTATTTCCCAGGGCAGGCATCCAATCCTCCTTCAACACAGCGGTGGCTTTCCTCAGGGGACAGCCATCCCAAGCAGTGGCTCCTCATATTTTCCACTTCTTGTCACAAAATCCTTTGGTTTCACAGCTCTCAAATCTGTTTTAGCCTGGCAAGCTGGTGTAGAGACTCCAGTAGTTCAGAATAAAAGAGATAAAGCCAGTTTATTACCAAATTTGGTAGCCAGCCACTTTAACTCTGAAATAACAGCATATATGAAGATTAATTAATTGCATTTCCTTCATTCCCATCTCTTTTATTCTGCTGTATATTTTCAGCTAACAGCAAAGACAAAAATTCCTTATTACAGTCAAAGTGTTAAGAAAGAAAGTACTCTTTCAAGTTTAACCCCCACTTAGCAGAGCTGACTTTTAGGCACAAGTGGAAGCTCATCACAAATATTTCACGTTTCCTTGCTAAACCAGCAGAGCTAAACGTGCCCCTCCTGTGGTGGAACAGACCCAGGGGACCTGCCCCTGCACAGCAGGAAGAGAGGAGAACTTGTGTTTCACTACACAACAAGGAAAGCATTTGCACTTCCAGAGTTTGGTAAATCCCAACTCAAGCTCACAGGACTTCCTCAGGAAACAAAACACAAAAATACCTGTTCTGGAACACCAGGGGCTCCCAGCAAACCACCACCACCCCAGTGGTAGCAAATACTGTGGTGGCTTTGCTGTCAGTCCCTTGGTCAGCTTTAAAATGTGGAAATTCAAGCTCAGAGCTCAAAGATGTCGAGTTATGTGGCAGTTCCTCCCCAATATAAATCATTCCACATTCCAGCACTGGAAATTTTACTGCCCTTAATGTCATATTCTGCTGTCCTCTCATATATCTGATGTAAGCACACTAAGTAATAATGACCCTCTAACCTGCTGCAGAGGAAAGGCAATTTTAGCCTGTCTGTGCTCTTACAGAAGTCCTTAAAGTGTCAGAAATTTAGGCCCCACACACAGTGAAGGGCCCAGCAAGTCCATCTGTGGAATCCCAGAAGTTACACACAAAGCTCTCTGGGAGCACCACTCCCACTCCATTTGCTAAACGTGTTTTCAATTCAACCTTTTCACCTTCAGTCTGTATTTCTTCTACAACACAACAGTTTCACCTTATTTACAGCTTCTTATTTACAGCTGGAATGTAGGACTAAGACACGTTTATATATAAAATACAACCCGAAATGCTCACATTTACTAATATTTATTTACAGGACAAAAATCTAAACCAGTGGCTGATCCATTATCTATCAGCTGAGGCAACAACCTCCATCCTCCTAAGCCAGCCATGCTCTAAAGCTGCTCAGAGTGCCCAGCTCAGCTCACAAACCTCCACTTTGAACTCGTTGCTGATGTAGCGCCCGTTGAGCTCCGAACAGACCAACTTGAACTTTCTGTCGAAGAGAGACACCGTGTGCCAGTTCCTGTAGCGTATCAAATGCAACACTTCTTCATAATTAGCCATAGTATCCACCCCTGGGGAGAAAAACACACGGGGAACACAGTTACTCTGCAAAAGATTCGAAGGCACCATCATACACTGGACAGGTATCACACCCTCTCTTCAGTAGAAGTTTTCTTGGGTGATGGATTTTCAGTTAGGAGGAATAAAGTACCACCACAGACACAATGTGGCTCCAGTGAAATCCTGTGGAGGGATTTTGTGATAAAATCTTAGACCCAGCTGGTATTTGAAGGGATTTGGGGAGCCTTTCTTTAGAATATTTTAATGTATTCTGAATATAAACCACAAAGGAATGATGTTCCCAGGCACTGGATTATCTGTGCAAGGAACAAGCCTTTTCTGGGGCAAAGTGTAACTCCATTTCCACAGTCCAGAGATAACCTGCAATTTGAGACAGGAGAAAAGAACACAAAGAAGGTTCTAGAATGATGTGTTTTCTAGAATCACAGCCTTCCACCAAAACAGTTGTGTCTGGAATTCTAAAAATGGTCCAAACTTGAAATTGTAAAAGAAAATGGAATATCTGGAGTAAGGTGTTAGAAACCACCTCTCCAGAACACTGTTCCCTCTGTGCTGCCTGCAGACCCCTCCCACAAGAGCACGAGCAGCAGGAGCCCCACCTGTGATGATCATGCCCAGGTTGGAGCTGCTCATCTCAATTCCCTTCTGCTGCAGCCGGGTCATGTCGACCTCCAGGCTCTCCTGCTCCTGGTTCAGCTCCTCTCCCAGCACTGTCACCTCACACGTGTCCAGGTTGTGCATGATCTCCTCGGATACCAAAGACTCTTGCACTAAAAAGCAGAGGAAAAGCCAAACCTATCAGCAGAAACACAGGTGAAGGAGACAGGAGCCCAGGAGCTACAAAGTGTCACATGCAAACTCTTCTCCCAGAGCAAATATTAGAATCTGGGCCTGAAGAGAGCAAGTATGCATGAAATAATGATTAAAAAAATAAAATACAAAACTCAAACAAGGGATATTTAAATGAGGATAATGGCCTGGGCTTACTATCATTTCCAGTACGTTTCTGTTAGCCCAGAGCAGAGGACCTACATCTTATTTCCCCTACTAGATTCTGTATTAAGGAGATAATATAGAATATAATATAAAATATCCTATATATATAATAAATATATAATAATATAAAAATATATAATAAATATAATATGATATGACATGATATATATGAGAAGATATGACATGATATATCATATATAATGACATATGATATGAGATGATATGAGATATGATATATGATGAGATGAGAGATATGAGATGAGAGATGAGATATGAGATGAGAGATGAGATATGAGATGAGAGATGAGATATGAGATGAGAGATGAGATATGAGATGAGAGATGAGATATTATATGAGAGATGAGATATTATATGAGAGATGAGATATTATATGAGAGATGAGATATTATATGAAAGATGAGATATTATATGAAAGATGAGATATTATATGAAAGATGAGATATTATATGAAAGATGAGATATTATATGAGAGATGAGATATTATATGAGAGATGAGATATTATATGAAAGATGAGATATTATATGAAAGATGAGATATTATATGAAAGATGAGATGTGAGATGATATGAGATATGATATGATATAATAGATCCTCCAAGGGGATCAGTGAGTGAGGTGAAGGTGGGCACAGTGGAAGCTCAGCAGGGTGTTTGTTACCTGTGGGATCCTCATCTCCATCCCCCTCCGGCTCCACCTCCCGGGTGATGGTGCTGATGATGCGAAGCTCAGGGAAGAGGGAAACGCCCTCAGAGCTCTCAAACTCGGAGGCAGAGCGGGCAAAGTGGTTGATGCCACTCAGGCTGATTTTTGGCTCCTCTGGCTGCAAGACCATGACATATCCCTCCACAGAGGGGATGGAGACACAGGCCTCTTCATTGAAACACCTGGGAGACAGAAGAAGTTGAGGTTAGCTGGGAGGGAGGCACAATTCCACACAGTAATTGCTTTATAAATCTTTGAAAAGCTGTCTCAGACCCAAGAGTCTCAGATAAATTCAGCAGCTGCATCAGAAAGCAGGAATTCCCCACCTGGGGAGCAATCTTACAGTTAATTTTTACTTACAGTTACCATTTGGCCCCGTTTCTATGCTCTGACTCACAGCCACAGATAACACCTCTAATGAAGGCAGTGACTGGCAAGACATTCCTGTCTTACTCCTTCCTCCATTGTCAGGAAGGAAACAGTGCTGGTGTAAAAACATTTCTGTATTCACATACACCAAGGCTCCTTTGTTTCTCCCCACTGAGACACAAGGACACCATTCCAGGCTCCACCATCCCTGCCAGGGACGGAATATTTCAGCACCAGGACATACTTGACAACGCTGGTGATCTTCAGCCTCCGAATGCCCGGAGTTGGGAACTGGCGGGAATTCAGGTAGGAAATGTGCTGCATGGCCTTGTCAACCCTCTCAATGTCATCCCCTTCTATGGTCAGTGTTGACTGACTTGGGTTCATGTGGATCTGAAACAACAGAAGAAAACCATAAGAGAACACCCAACATGGTCTGGCAATTCCAACTGGAGCTCAGCGCTGCTCAGCCTGGTAAATGCAGGATAATTGCATCCATGTTCAAAGCAAAAAGGGCATTATTTACTGGCCCTGTGGCACACAGTCTAACCTCCCTATTCACTGCCTCGTTCCTGTGGAATATATTTAGTGTTTCATTCCTTAAAAAATTTCTAGGCACTTAACATAGTTCTGGGTTCTGGTAATATGGAAGAGAGGCAGCTGATATAAAGGAGAAATTCAGCTCTGCTCAAGCAGCCTTGCTACTAAAAAAGCCAGGCAAGTTAAATCTCGTTTTATGAACTGCTTGTTAAGAATCTCTTTTATCAGACACCCTGGTACAGCTGGTTAAATAGAGGCCTACAAATATGGAATGCCTCTTCCAGACTTTAGGAATGAGAGTTACTGTGTTCTCTTTAACTCCACTAAGGCCATATTCACACAAGAAAGATTTCCCAGGTTTTAGGCAATTTTAATGCAAAATGCCACAGGGGCTGAGCTTGTTTTATTTGGGACACCCCTATTAACTCTGCCAGCAAAACCTGTACCCATCAGTACTGAGCAAAAGGGAACATGTCCATTGCTTCATCTGCAACTTTACCTTCACCCCTTTGCCAACACCATCGGGCATCTGCAAATCCAGCCCCTCCTTGCAGGTGTAGAGACAGTCGATGACCTTCTTGTTTTCCAGTTTCCCAGAACGGATCATCAAACCCGCCAGATTCCCTCGGAAAAACTGCGCCATGCGGAGCTCTCCACCTTCGGGAAGGGGGCGAGGGAGGGAAAAAAAACCTTCACTTGCTTTGATTCTTTCTCCTCTTTTCTTTTGTAAAACAACAAATATGCCTCCTGGTGCACAGAGTATGACACGCATGCGGGTTAGTTTTGACCCATCTGGGGGTTAAACCTCGTGATCATGGTCAAGCACAAAGAAAGTTCCACAGTCCACCATGCACGTGGCCCTCAGACAGCCAGGGGCCACCCGGAACCGCCGGGTCCGGGACAGACATCTCCAAAGGAATCCCACCCGGCGAGGTGGGGCTCGGGAATGGAAGGCAGGGCCAGGGGGATGAACCACAGAACGTGACCTTTCAAGCTGAGGAAATGACACCTCCTGTCACTGGGATCTCTGCAAAGGCAACGCCCATCAGGATCCATCCTCCAGGGGTGAGTTATCCACCCCCAAACCCAGCCCTGCAGGCTCTCCTGGCAGTCAAGGGGCAGGAAGGGACTTTACAAAAGTCATTCAGCTCATTCTGTGTCCAAGAGTTACCTGCCCCCCTCTAAAGGTGCCCCTTCTCTGAGCAGACTCAGATGTGCATTTTAAACTCAGGTAACTCACTTTTAGATATCTGGGTTAAGTTTGATGAACTGCAACCTCAGTTGCAGTTATTCCTCAGGTTTTCTTGAAGATGACATCACAATCATCACCTAAGTCCATCTTGCTAATTAACAGGGGCCACAGAACACCACCTGGAAATCTGTATTTCAAGGCCATCACTCACTAAGCAACTTAATTTTTAGAGATGTCTAAGCTTGTTTTCAAGATTCCAAGTGATAAAAGATCCCTGGTATAACTCAAAATAATATTCAGTGGGGAATTGTCCCGTTACAAATGATACAATTTGCAGTTTAGATTTGTACAGCTCCAGCTTTGAACCCCTGGATGCTGCTACCTCCTTGCCAAATTAAAAAAATTCCAGGAATTCTTAAACTTTACAGAAAGAGTTCACATCTTGAATTCACTTTCAGAAATACACACTAACTTTAAAGGTCTCGATTCAAGACAAAACTGAACTATAAGTAAAAATTTCTAAGAAAATCCAACCCTGTTAAGACAATCTGAACTGCCTGGTAGCCAGAGCTTTTTTTTTCCCCCCATTCAGTGTAATCAGAATTTTATATAAATTTCTGATCAATGAGTATCCCCTGTAAATTACAGGTCTGTCTTTATGAGCAGACTGATCTAAATATGAAATCAGTCTCACTGTGAGTGGGGAGCAGGGCCACCTGACTCCCAGAGGTCCTTCCCAACATCCTGAATAATTCTATAATAAACACACATACCTACACACAAACACATGTATTTATACAGGATGAGGGGCACTTATGTTTTAACAAAACTGGGTGAAAGAAATGATGGCTGATATTTTACATCAGCAACTTACTGACACCACTTCACTGCCATCCCCAGATTTGTACATGGAGGCGCGTTCGGATGCAACCAAAAAAAAAAAACCAAAACAAAACCCAACACAAAACCAACAAAAAAAAAAAAAAAAACACCCCCAAAACCAAGCAAAATGTCAGCTGATGAAGCTCTGCAAATAGAAGCACAACGAAGAAACAAGCCTAGGAGAGGATTATGTGAAGGTCAATGGCCCGAATGCGATGCTGCGTTTCATGCTCTGGGTGAGATGAAGCAATGTCTTGGCTTAAAAATGAAATAAAACAGTAGGGAAAAAACTCCAGCAACCTGCAGAGGTCTCGGGCACAGTTTCATTGTCATTCTCATTTCCTGTATATTCTGTGGAAAAGCAAGACAAAAGAAAGGGACAAGAGGGAAAGGACCAAGTCGTTACAGTTTGGCAAACTCTTCTCACAGAAAACACAAAGCGGCCCTTCCCCCAAAAGTCTGCTCATCTCCCACCCAGCTTCTCAAGGATTAGGAGTTCTTTTGAAACATGAAGAGCTGCAATGCAGGGAAGAAGCATCACTGTGTTGTTACAAGAACATAAAAAGTCATTGGCAAGAGAACCCAAAGAGCCCCACACACAAACCCTGCAGTAAAACCAGTAGAAACTGGATTAAGCCAGAGAGCAAACCTCCCACAACCCACTGCTGGTAATGAGACTGTAAATCAGCTGGCTCCATTTCAGGGGAAATTAAGGTGAAATCCAGCCTAATACAGCAAAGCACCAAAAGGTATTAAAAGCTGATCAAAACAAGCCATTACCAACACAGATTTTATCATCATAATAATAGTATCACATGCATTAAGCAGTCAATTTATCAGATGGAAGCAAAATTAAAAACAGCTTTTTAACTTTTGAAAGAAACGTTAAAAGAACTTCTTCAAAAGCATAAAATCTCTCTCTCCTTGGAGGTGAGCTGTATATATAACTTAGAGCAGCCTGATTTATTTTGAAGTCTTGATAGGACAACACCAATGACCATTAATTTCACTCCTTTGGCAAACTCTATTCACCATGTGTTCTAATCCCCTAAAAATCAGGCTTTTGGTGCAATTTTTAAAAGGCAGTTCTTGTACTTCAGAGTTTTATACTCCTATTTCAGTCTGCTTTCATTAAAAAGAAATCTCATGGCAGAAGAAATTAAAGAATCATATCATGGTGCCAATACGAAAGCACAGGAGTTTTTAAATTAAATGTACATGTTTTTGTTAGGATGCAGAATATACATGGAAGGCATTATACAATCCATACATTCAGCTGGAAATGAGTTCCAAGCTCCAGTTTCTTTAAAATCAGTCACTATAACTTCCCTTTGAGATAGAAGAAATTGGCTGGAAAAGTCACAAACAGAGTGAGATGAATTATGGAGAAATCAAAATAACTGATGCAAGGAAGAAACAACAGAACCAATTTAGCCCTGAAATAGCATTAATACTGAATGATAGTGAACTTGTCACAAAATAACAGATTTGATGGAGAGGACAGATAATTTAACCTTCATTCACACTTCAAAGCCTTAAAACTCACAGAGAAAAGAGACATTATAAGACAGAAGACTGTTAATTTGATTAAAACGTCTCAAAGCTTTCCATTTGTCACTCATTCCCAGGCCACATCTGTGCATTCCTGCAGACAGCAACTACAGCCTATAACAGGAACTAAATAAAACAGGGGTGATTTAACACTGTTTTATCTCCAACCAAAAAGAGTAGCTTTACACCAGCCAGGATCTAATTCAATCAGCAAACACTGCAGTTCAGCAATGGAGCAAGAGTTCTGTTCCCAAGATCTCTGGAATCAGCATCCATGTGCAGATGCATCCTCCTCCTTCTTCTCCAGCTCTGGAGAGTAGGTTTTAAAGTATTAAAGCACATGAATCAGCACTTCACAGCTTGCAGAATATTGTATTTTAAGCCACAATGTGCAAACAATAAAGCAGATGTCTATTTTTATAAGCAGAAATGGTAAAATATCCAAGGACAGCAGCACTGTGCTGCTTTGCTGAACTGTCTGCTGGTCATGGTTGCAATAATGAGAACACTCTTTCTACAATATGCTTTTCAACTGACTTGAAATTAAGTGTTCTGCTTAGTAATCTGAAGTATATGAAGGATTCTTGCAACTATTATTAAAAATAGCAAGAATCACAACAACAATAATAATAAAAATTAAAAGCTCTCTGTATTCCCATGGTCACCACAAAACCCACTTTGGTGGAATACAGCTTGGTGAGCAGCTTTGTATTTCACAAGCACCCGTGGCCAACGAGAAAACAAACACTCATGGAAAAAATGACTAAAAGAGGAAATATGTGATACCAGCCAGGAGCAAAAAATAACCTGCAGAAGGCAAATGAAGTTATCTTTCAGGCACTAAAAAGATCTGCCATGTAATTCTAGATAACCACAGAGATATCATTAAAAAAAGTTAATTAAAGTATTAAATGTTGTAAAGAGTTACCTTGCCAACAGGCTCCAACCACCAGCTGTGTTTCTATCTTGGAAGGGTGCAGGGGGTAATCCTCAGTCACTGGGAAAGGATCATAGGAAACACCATCTACATAAAGAGTCACTGCAGGGAACTCAACGTTGACAACGTAGTGATGCCACTCCTTGTCACACACCTGAGCAGAGAGAGTTGGAAACATTCATTACAGTTGAATAACTGAGCTGATAAACACATGCAGACATGCAACATCCACGAGCCTGTACAGACACAGTTGATGTGCACACACATGGCACACATCTGAAAGGCAAACTGACTGTCAAACATTAATAAAAAGTTTCTTTTCTTCTGTTGCCAACACAGGAAGCTGCTGTATTTCCCTTCCTTTAATTTTTATACTGAATAACAGCGTTATTTCAATCTAAAAATACATATCTACATGCAAGCACATCCTGAAATACTGTTATAAGACAACATTACTTGACAGAGGACAGGTATTTTCTGAGAGAGAACACTAAAAAAAAATATTTTGAATTGGAAAAGGCCTTCCATGACAGAATTATTTACAGTGAAAGCTGATCTGGTTTTGGAAAGTAGAAATTTTCCTACAAGGACATATATGTGTATTTTATCATTAAAACAACACACATTGCCCTGCAAAAAAACTAGGATATAATTAGATGTGTTACAAAGTCACTCACTGTTTGGGTAACTGGCAAAACAGACCTGCAAGAGCAACCTAAAGCAACTAAAAGAACTTGATAAATTGACAGATATTCAAGGTTATTTTATCATTCAGATCCAGAGCTCTGGAAAAGCTCCCACATTCAGAAGTACTTTAACGCTGTAAACAACCTGGAATATTTCCTGTTTTTTCATGCCCTCTGGAATACTTCCCATTTTCTCATGCACTCTCCCTTACAGTGTATTCAGTGAACATAGAAGAATGACACTGGGTTTTTTATTTCACACCCAAGATGAAAAGGTGCAGCTGAACCTGACACTTGATCACAAATCAAACAAGTATCGTCGGGGTCCAGAAAAAAAGGGCCTCGGGAGTTCAGAGCTGCAAAAAGTATTTAGTAATAATTATACCACCAGGGAGTTTGGTCTCTGGTGGTTTGCACTCTAACATCCTACCAAATTGTCCTTCCAAAGGTACCTGGTTCAGCTTCCAGTGGAATTCAGCAGGTTTGTAGGTTTTTCCCTCCGAAGGGTCCTGGCGGAAGAGGAAAACGAGCCGGCAGTTGTGGACGTAGAGGGTGTAGTGGTGCCGGTTCATGTCTGCACGAGAGGTTTCAGGGACAGCATTATTCCCTGGAAACCCCCAGAACTCCACAAAATCCACCTGTTCTGCAATTTCACACTTAAATCTCCACGTAACCGGGAGGAATAAACCAATGTGGAAGTTAGTCAGGCCCGGTAAGAGGAATTTGAAACATTTGTAGAAGCAGTGAGGGCAAACATTGCTGAAGAACCCACGAGCAACAGACATGTCTCTCCAAATCCAATCTAAACCAGGGCATAGGAGTGAAGAGCCAGAGATAAACTATCAGCAGGAGAAAAAGAAAAGAACTCTCTTTGCAAACAGAGCTTTTTTTGTTACAAAGGAGCAGCTCCTACAGCTTCTGGTTCCTGGTTTGGAGCAGGTACACACACTTCCCTTAGAGAAAACTGCAGTCACAGCTCTAAAGGATTTGCCATTTTAAATAAATACAAGGGTGAAATGCTGGAGAAATGGGTGAGAATAAGGAAAAGAAATATTTTAGCAGCATCATCCATGCCATGCCATGCCATGGCATGGATGAGCCAAGAAAGTGGGGAATATAAAGAGACCAAACTCATGTCAGTCTTTCAGTCTGACAGCACTGAGCCTGACTGCACTGTTCCAGTGCAATACAGTCCAAACTGCCTCCCTCCAGCTAACCTGGATTTAATCTTTCAATATTTCCTAATATACCCTTAGAATGAAGGCAAATACTACCAGAAACTACCTGCCACGAGAATTCCGTGGTTAGGTCAAACCAAGGAATAAAAAAGGAGAAGTTGTTTTGAAGGTCTGCTGCCTATGCACTGTAAACCAGGAAAAACTATTTAAATTTGCCTCTTTTCTCTCCAGTTCACTCATTTCCATGAAGAAGGTTTGGGGTTTGATTAAGAGGAATAGGTGAAGGTAGGAAAAGAGAATATTTGTACCTGGTTCTGAATGACTGTCACTTTTCTCCTGTTCAAAGAAATGCTTCTGGGGTACTACAAATCTTTCATATTTTCTTACGACAAATCTTTCTTATTTTCAAATAAAATTTAAAATATATTCAGTGTAGTTTCCTTTGAAAGACCTAGCAGCAATTAAATAAAGTCTCTAATACACTGGTCAAATGCACTGCTCCAGCTTAACAAAGACAGGAATTCTTTTGCCCCCATCAGGCAGCAATTATGGAAACAGGGTTATCACATTTCCTTCTTATTAATAGCATTTTCAAAATTATTGTGTCTGTAGCATTCACAGAGAGTGAAATTATGCACAGAGTGAAAAAAAAATTTCATCACTGGTGAGAGAGAAATTATATCCTCCTAGAAAAAAAAAAGATACAGCAGCAAATGCTGCCACTAGACCTGATATATGTATCTCAATGTTTTCAGGCAGCATAAGAACAGAGCTATCTTTGGAGATGCAAACTCGGGACTGCATTCCCAGAATAAGTCATCCAGCACAGCAAAAGAAGTGCATAATGTAAACTGAAATAGAACTAGAAAAACCAAGCCTGCCCAATCTGAAGTTGGATAATCTAAAGCCAAATCTATACATAAGCACAATAAAGAGTGACTTTTAAAGTCCATTCGTTTCACTTCAAAAAAAAAAAGGTAGAGAAAAACCTCAAGGTTGTCACACGTGCTGCCACAGAACACAAAAACCCAACCAACCAAAAGGCTGTTTCTAATCGAAATACTGACAAACCTGTCTTGTCTGAGTTGCACAGAATTGTCTCCTTCTCCCTGGTTCCAGGCCCGTGCCTCATCCACACCGAAATCACGAAGGGCTCTTTCATGTTGACTGTGACAACCCCATCTGGAACCTTCACAGCCTGGGTGCCGTTGAACTCGAAGACCTGGTCGCTGTCGTGGCCGTTGTCCGTGGGAAGGCCCACGGTCCAGTTTGCAGCACTGCTGGGAGGGGGAAGCAGCTCAGCTGTGCCAGAAGCAGCACCTACAGTGAAAAGGGAATCAGATAGAAAAAACTTAAAAGACCACTGCTAGTTTCAAACCAAACTGCTTTTCTGAGCACTAAATTTTCGGCACCAACTGTCAGGATGATGTAACTGCCATCACACATCAAGCAATTCTCCTCTGACATAATGTGGCACTAATTACAGACATCTGATATCGTGATGATTTCCAAAAATGTAGCTTCTGGGTAAGCAACTAAGCTCATTGAAATTGTTTTCCTTTCTGTCTCTACAGCTGTAGAACCTTATTTCCCCCCCATCTCAGGATCCATTTCATTAATGCCACTTGTCCCTCAGGCCCGTGCCTGCGATGCCTTTCTCTCAACACTGTACTAGCTGTGAGTCTCATGTTCACCCAGTTGAAGGGAGTGCAGAAGCACCCCCTCCCAGCTCACTGTCTAATCATAGCAGAGTCAGAAGCAGGTTCTTGGCTTGTTGTCCTTTCTCCACTTCTTAACGTCACACTGACCTCAATCAGGGAACAGCTCAGGAATTGCCTGGGTCTCTGGGGTTACACACTGTTCAGACTTTCAACTGAAGTTCAGGACATAAATCAGTGATAATTTGTCCTGTAATGTCTATTCTTCCATACTGGCTACAAAGGATTCATAAACTCCTCATAAAGCCTTTTACTGCAGCACAAGTGGGTGCCAAGGGCTTCCTGGGGCAAGCACAGTATGAATTTCTCTGATGCAAGGGAACTGGTTTTTTTCCAAACCACTCTTTCTGTGGTGTTCTCATCTAGTTTTTCACCATGCATTTCTTAGATTGCAGCCATCACATCCATCATGCTCAGAGAAAGAGAGCCTTTAATGGCTATACCCTTCACCCAGATAACATTCTTTCAGCTCTTCAACATGACTCTCATGTGAGGGAAATTATTAGTGTACACAAGCTAGTGGAGAGGCAGAAGAAAGAGATTCTTTACCACACTTGAGAATTATTTTAAAAGTCACCTTCAGGCAATTTCACTGCCTGCTAGGAAACAAGCTGCAGGAAAGTACATGCAAATGAAGACCAGATCTACTCACTGATTTGTGGTCTAACATAAAATTCAAAGAGAAAAACTAGCAAGCAAGAGAGACCACTTTTACTTTAACAAAGGCATTCTTACCACAGAGCCTGTGGATGGATTTCTCTGAGTAGGTGTCTCTATCACAGCCTTTACCAATATGGTTGGTTTCCAGTTCAACTGTTGCTTCAACGGAGGTTATTGGCTCATCACACGTCTCCAAATGCATCCCGGGGAACAGAGCCAAGGAACCAGTGCCAGGCTCATACTCTATTCTTTTGCTCCAACCTGTGTATTTATCCAAAGAAACAATGTTAAAGATGTCTCACGTTGAACTGAAGGTAGGAGCAAATGCTAACAGCAGAGATAAAGGAGAGCAAACCAACCTTGCCAGCCAGGCTTGCACGTAGGCTTAATGCTAATTTTAACCAACACATCCTCAGCAGCTCTCTTCTTCCCACAGTCATATGCTGTTACTGTCAGTTTATACTGATGTTCTTTACCATAGCTCAGCTTCTCTGTGTTTTTTATATAACCTGGCACACACAAAAAAAGCAATGATCAGACATCGATATCATTTCTCGGGGTCGTTGCTGCATTAAATGAGTTCAGGTACCAGCTCTGTGCTTCACACAGATACCCAATAACAGACACCCCTGTGAGGGAATTACCCTTCACTATTTGACTTTTCAATGTCAGACATCAGGCCCAGATCCTTACAAATTACATTAATCCAGAGATGAGCACACAGACACAGAACAGCAGGTATATACATCTCAGGCTCTTAACAGTATATTATCTCAAAATGAAACTGCTCCTGGGTGGTAACTGATACATAAACTGTTTGGATTATGCCAGCATTCTCTATCTTTTTTTTTAAATTTGCAAACCTATCGACAATGTGGATCCCCCAAAAAACTCAAACTAAAAGCCCACTGAAAACTGTTCACTTTGCTTAACCAGCTTGCTTGAACCACTAAAACTACCTATAGATTTTGAAGGGTCCACAGATCACTGGAGGTCAGGAAATGACCTAAAGAAATGACTGCACTTGAAAGCAATAGCCATGAAACTCCAGCCATACATGAGCATCTCAAATGTGTAAAGCACACAGGTGGAATCCCATTTTTGAAAGCTAAGTAGCACGAGTTATCCTAACACAGAATGGACAAGACAGACCTAGTAAGAGGTGGTTTAAAACATCAGACAATTACTGTATTTCCTTTAGTTTGAAAAGCATTTTACAAGAAACAGAGATGCAACCCCCCATCTGCTCCTGCCATCAGTGACAGCACATGGTACTGGCATTGAAAGACTGTTCATTATTAATTCAGACTGAACACCTCTGTTTAACTGTGCTTAGGGAGGGGTTAAACAGGCCTGCTGTACTTCTGTGCTGACCCGTCGGAATCACGTTTTTTTGGGTGACAGATGACAACAATTCCCACTGCACTCACCATCCTTGTCAATGGCAAAGGGCACATCTGGAGTCACAATCTCGTAGCTGCAGATCTGGCTGAACTGGGGGGAACAATCTGCATCCACGGCCTCCACCTTGAGGATGTTGTCGTACCTCTTGCCCTCGATCACCGTGGCCTTGTAGGACTTCTCCTTGAACACCGGCGCGTACTCGTTCACGTCGTTCACCTGGATGTGGACCGTGGCTCTGGAAGAACACACACACAGGTCACCTGGATGTGGACTGTGGCTCTGGAAGAACACACACACAGGTCAGCCTGGAGGCTGCACAGCTCCTGCTCGTGCCAGGACTTCTGGTACAACAGCTCGCTCTTCTCCACGTGAACCCGTCCTTCGGAATTCCAGCCCTCGGGAAGAAATGACTAATAAAGCCAACAGTCTCAAAAACTACCCTGGTACAGCCGTGGGTGTTTTTCCAGTGTGTTGCCATATAAATCAGTGCAATTCTACGTTATTGTTTACTACTGTTATTTATTTGCAAATAACATTCAAACCCTTGCACTGCAACAATAAAATTGGCACCATTTTACAGAACTGCAACGAAACAGAGCTGTGACAAAATAGGCTTTTACTTTTGTTAAAACAGTATAGTCCAAGTTCTTCCCTGCTGTCAGAGTATTTGATATGAACACTCCAATTTTATTTTATGTGAACAAGAGTGACAGTTAAGACTGGTCTTAGACTAAGAGCTCAGTCAAGTGCATTTGATTGGTTTTCTTTGGCTAATAAAGTACTCAGTTGTGTAAGTCAGTGAAAACAGGCTTATTTGTTAGATGGAGAAATGAGAAATCAGACAATTTAAATGGAAGAATCACAGAAGTGGCAGATACACTTTAACACATCATGCAGCTTGCTGGATAATCCAAAACAGATTGGATCTTGAATTCCATCCTTTCATGCCTGTCACTGATTGCTGGTTTACACAGAATAGGAAAAATAAAGCAGTTTCTGTCACTGACCGAGGAGAAAAGATGAATGATGGAAAGTAACTAATAAAGAATTCAACAATTACAGTCCTTCCATAAAAGCAGAAGTTTATTAATGATTATGCTGAGAAAGATCTTTAAGGTTTTATTTTATCCTATGTGCTAAATAAACACCACCAAAAAAAAGGTACCAAACAAACTGTACATTTCTGATTTGTGGATCTACACTTCCAAGACTGTTAAAAACCACAAAACCCCCCATAACACAGTCAGCCATGGGCCAGGGGAATGTGAACTGTGGTTTGTAGATGTAGATTGTGAAAACCCATCATTCTGCTGTGAGAGAACAGTAGCAGAGTGTGCTGCTGGATGTTCACAACATAGCCTCAATTTGGATAATCCTAATTTTTACTACAGTCATCAGAGGAAAGTTTTTATCTCAACCAGCACAGGTAGAAAAATACAGATAAATTCTACAGTGTGGAGGAGGACCTGAACAAAGAATATAATTCCAGCCAACCCAACAAAACATTTGTTGCCATCTTTCTCTTTGAAATCTTCTTTCAAAAGTCAAATTGAGTACCAAACAGTTTAAGGAGACAGCTATTTTCCATAAGTGCAATCCTTTAGGAGGTTACATTCTGCTGCCTATTTTGAAGCACACTTGTGTTTGTCACCAAGCTGACCTCTGCTACTCTGTTCTGGATCTTATTTACTGCCTTCTTTGCCTCACACAGCAGCTCATCTCCCACGTGCTCTGCAGATGTTTACACCAGGGTGTTAAACAGTTATTCTCAAGTGGATTTTGTAGAGGGTATTTTATATTGTGGTTTTTCTTTAGCTAAAGATTAGCTGAAGATTGCTTTGTTCCCATTCTTTAATCTAGGCAGAGATGAGCCCTGTGCTATTGATCTTGGGTTCTTTTGGTGGGGCTGTCTGCAAACGATAACAACGTGTCTTCTTTTGCATTTTGTTAAGTTTAATATAGATTGACTTCTTGAACCAGGTTTTGGGATTTAGAAACTGAATTCTGAAACAACATCCAGGCTCAGTATCCCACCCAAACTCTGTATCAACTTGAGCCACATTTCAAGTGTATCAACAGTTTTTCTGCTTCTATCCCCACATTATTTTCTGATGTAAATTCAGAGACATCAAGGGATGAAGCAGTGCCACATAAAATACAAATGAAGAGATGTCCAAGCAGTTCATGTCCATTTGGTTGCTCTTTTTATCCCCATTATGACCCCGTTGGAGCAGGGAGGTTGCACTAGATGACCCACTGTGGTCCTTCCAACCCATTTTGTGATTCTGGGCTTATATGAACAAAGTCTTCCAGTATTAACACTTGGTTTAACATTTACTCTACACAGACAATAAACCACCACGAGCAGGAGACCCCTTGCAACCAAACCTCCCCTCAGCCCAGCCCAGATTGACTCACTTGTGGGATTTTTTGGAATTTGCCCCGTCTGGTCCCTTCCCGCAGTCGTAGGCCTGGATGGTGAAGGTGTAGTCCTTCTGCAGCTCACAGTCCAGCTTCTCCTTCGAGCGGATTATTCCCTCACCAGTGGATTTATCCACCACCACTGCTTCAAAGGGAACATTCTGCCCGTGAATTTTAAATCCACAGATCTCACCTACAGAGCCAAAGGGAGAGGGGTCAGAACCGGCAGAAGTCGGCGACACGTTTATAAAATAAAACGACCGAATATTTTGCAGCCAAGGGTTTGTGAGGGTCTGTGGACAAAGCAAGAGCACTGTGCTTTAAAATGGGTGATTTCTGGGAACTTTAGTAAAAACAGAAGCAAACGTCTGCCCTTCCAAGCAACTTGTTTACTTTGCATCCATTCATGCAGGAGGACAAAAGAGAAAAAGAGAAATGTAGACAGGCATTTCACAGGAGTACTTGAGATAGCTCTAGGGTAAGAGTAGATCTTATGTGAGCACACAGCCAAGGCCACTGGTAATGTCTTCTATGCCAAGCTACTGGGAATAGCTGGGCAGCTGGTTCGTTTTGACCAGAGCAGAAGGTTAAAATGCACAGTTACGAGTCGAGGGATGAAAAAGCTCCGAGTACAGGTTCAGCACCAGAATTACAGAAATTCTGTCAACAGATCAAAGGGCAAAGTCTTCCTGTGCAATGTACCTGGCTAAAATCAGGGAATCAAAATAAACTACTGAATGAGAAAGGTAGAAATACCAACTTCTCAGGCATCCATTTCAACAGCTATCTACTAACACGGGCCAATGTTAGTCAAGGGAGCTCTCACGTGGAATGTTTCAGGAGGCTGTGCTTCTGTCCAAACCCTTCATCCCACACACCTGGAAGAGCAGTCCCTAGCACATCGTTTGGAAACACATCTAAGCCTCAGATTGCACTGCAAGACTCTGGCTGGCACAGCTGGGTAAGCCCAGCACACAACAAAAGCCACTCAAGCTCTCTGAGCACCCACACTGGGTTTTTACCTGTATAACTCAGGTTTGGAAGGTGATTTTCTTCCACCACCAAACCCCACTGTTTTGCTGTTAGAGTTGCAGTGGTACCATAGTACCAAGAATGCTCTCCTGCTGTAAACATGTCTAGAGGTCTTCAAAAAAAAAGGGGGGGTTGATTCATATTTAAACTCATGAAGAAAGTACTGAAGGATATGTTCTGCAGGGAAGGGGCTGTAATGCTTCAGCACTTCTATATTACTTTACAAAGCACTTGAAAAAACTTCAGATGTCCCAAAAAAGCTGTAAGTGAAAATACCAGAAAATGCTAATTTTCCCCCAAACCAACTTCTTCAGTGTCCACGCAAGGGACAATAACCCCAAATGGTTCAAATGGATGTCTGATTTACAGATATTTCTAACCAAGGGTTTGGTTACATAACAGTTTTTAATCAATATATTTTAAAATAGAAAAAAACTGGGAGAATAAATGGGACAAAAGTGCATGACAGGATCTTCTGTTTCAGTGCTGATTCCCCATTTCATAACCAAAGTTAGTAGGTTAATATTCATAAAAGGGATAGAAAGAACCCTTTATCACCTTCTTTGGTGACTGTCACCTCAAAACTCTCTAAAGGGAGAAAAGATAAACCCAAGTCAGTAACAGGAAAGGTTGAACGGGAGCAAATAAGGATAAAAGGTAAAGATGCACACATTACACAGAAAAGCTTTGGAAAAACTGTATTTTAAAATTCCAGTGGTGATTTGCTGCAACTGTTACAATTTTAGAGTTTTAGTTATGTTAAATATGATTTAATCTTTTAACTCCAGGTTGCCATTTGTAGAATTTTGCAGTATTTAGTAAGTTCATCAAAAGGCTTTTTCCTTTTTTCTTTTCTTTTTTTTTTTTTTTTTAATACCACCTGCTAAACAAGAGATATTTTCAAAATTCCATGGTGATGAACAACTATCCATAAAGTAGAACTGATCTGAATTTATTTATACTATACTATTTAAAAAAGACAGATAATTCAAACCAGGTTTTATCTACTATATTGAAACCACCACGTTTCTACAATCACAAAACTTCATACTCCCTTTTTGAGTTCCAGATAAAAAGGTTTTGTTTTTTTTTTAGGACAGTCATGGGATTTTTGTGTTTCCACATAAATTTTTCTCACTTTAGGTTGTGGAACCCCCAGCATTTGTAAAATTGCAAACCCAACTTGACAGTATTGCCATAACTCATGATGAAAAAATACACACATTAAACTGTGATCCTGAGGAACATAAAAATCTTAATTAAAAGAACGGGGAGGGGGGGAACTCTGTATTTTCCTAGCAGCACACTGCTTTTCCAGGTTAAACAAGCAACCACCTCATCCTACTGCTGAAATACTGCAGTGCTGGACAGAAAAGGTGCAGGTACCCAAAAATATCCAGCTGTCAGAACTGAGGATGCCCCAGAGCAGCCTGGTCACCCCCTCCAGCCACCCCAGGAAAGGAGAAGCCTCCACAGTGTCCTGGATCTTCCAGGCTTTGAGGAGACCTTGGATATAACAGAGTTTTACAGGGGTGTGACATGACTGTGAGAGGCACCTGGTTCAGTTTTAATGAAAAGACAGTTAACCCTTGGAAATCATGACCTGTTAAACCCCCAAACTACCACCTTTTACACATTATCCAGCAGATCATTATCTTTTTTCCTGATTACCATCATCTTTAACCTGAAATCCTGTACAATAAAGCAAACCTGGACCCTCAAAAGCACTTTTACCAGATCTGTTAATTCTCAAACATTTCCTGCAGGAATGCTTTCAAGTCTCCATCCCAGAGTGGCCTCAGAAAGAAATGAGGCACTTTAGTTACAGAGAAATATTTTACTGAAGGCAAATTTACAGTTTAATACTGAAGTGGAAATATAAGTAAGAAAAATTACCTTAACATGATTTCTAGACCATTTTAAAAGGAGCCAGTTTCTGAAATAGCTCTCAACAGGGTCTCCCTGAAACTCACTTCAGGTAATCCCTGGATTTATGATCAGCTCTTTATTTTAACACACCAAGAACGCTGCCTCTTGTGGCACCCACATAATTTATTTCAGTCTATTCTTATGCAGGATATAAATATAATCCCAGATTTTCACGTGTTTTGGCAATAGGATCATTGAAGAAAATTTTACACTGTTTAAATTCATGGCTGACACCACTGATCAGCCACAAGTGACATTCCAACTGCAAAGCTTTTACATATTCCATCTCTTCACTCCTGTACACCCACTTCCCTGCTCCCTTCCAGGAACACTGAGAGCCAAGCACTGTGTGTGAAACACAAAGTACAGGAACAAAATAACTGGAAGGGAACATTAAAGCAGAAAGCCTGGAATGGAGAGAAGAGGGAGAAGTGGATTAATGGGGCAATTACCTACTTGGGAAAGGGGAGGCTGTTTAAGAACTGGTCAGTTCTTTATCATCTCCAGTGACCTGGAGCTCTGGCACCAACCCTGACGTGGCTGCCAGGAAATTCAGGCATTCCAGTTTTGGCTCCTGAGCATAAGACAGAAATCAGCTCTCCAGTAAATATCTGTGTGTCTCCAGGTGCTGCTCAAGGTGGAAAGCTTCAGTCTGAGGGGTACTCTGGCTCTGCCACATGTTCCTCAGAAGAATAATTGCTTAATGCTTATTCTCATTTCATTCTGAAATTGAGATACGTTACTGAAATAAAATTCTCTCCTCTACCAGGACCAGAACGATGATCAATCCACAAATTAATTTGTATTTAACATGTTGGAAACTGTTCAGGTAAATAACCAGGACAGCACTTCACAGTGTTTCACCCAGCTCTACTGACAGGTGAAAAACCATTTCATTTTACACATAACACAGGTCTGAGGAACTTGTGTTACCCAGAAAATATTCAGCAACCCTGGATCCTAAAGGACTTCTGTATTTCTCCTTTCTGGTGTAGCACAGTTAAAAGACAGGGAGAATTGGGTAGAATTTTAAGGTTTTGTTGAGTTTTACTGTTCTATCTTTCTGTACTGTTATGATATAATGATGTAAAATAATTATATAGCTAATAAAAAGTTTCATAAGATATTTAAACTACATACTTTATTTAATGTACTAAGTATATTAAATAAATTACTTTGTTTAACATACCAAGTACATTAAACATGTAAACACATACAGTATTTGACTGGACACTCTTCAGACTTGGGAATCTCTCTCCATTTCCATTCCACAGAAGGAGAAAGTATATTCTCCCAGCTCCAACCAAGTAGCATGAGGATCATGGAAAGCCTCTAGGAAAGTCTCCCATTTCAACATGCACAGATCACCTTCTAAACAAGTATTTCTAAGCACAAAACTGTTACATCACTTCATGCACACTTTACATTTGATGCAAAAATGGCTGAAATTCTATTGCAACAAAATTCCCTCTTAAGTTCTGCCACCCAGCTGTGCAACTGAATTGTTCATTGGAAGGGACAAGACCAAAATCTGTTTGATTCCAGTGTCATTCATCTCTCCATCCCATTTCTTTCCAATCCTCTCCCAGCTGGGCACTGCCCTGCCCACGGACCTGCTGCAGACAGGACGTCATTCCTAAACAAACTGGAGGCATCAGCACTGTCCCAGCCCAACATGGGAACCTGCCCCCAGGGACAGGGACCCGAGGGCTTCCTGGATTTTTGGAGCCTTTTTAAAAGTATGAATAGAGATTCTGCAAGATCCTTTCCAAAGCTCTACACATATTCATGCTTTAAGCCACAGAATTCCTAACCCCCACAAAAATACTTTTTGCATCCCAGAGCAGCAAGGGGAAAATAAAAGATTGTGGCTGAGAAGTGGTTTTCTCTAGGGGTGGGGGAAGAGGGATTAAAGCCCTATTATAGGCACATCAAAAAGCCAAGGAAACATTTCTTTCCACAGGGGAAACATTTCCAACATCTGGCCAGCGAGACCCTGCCTTACACTCTCATAACAAAACACATTCAGCTCTGTGGAGGCATCCAGATATAACATTGTCTGCTTCAAATGCAATAAAAAAATCAGCTCCTTTTTGCACAGTAAAGGGGAAATCCCCACTGAGAGCTTCAGACATCAAACTGATTTTAGACACAAATTACTCGAACGTACAATAGAAAATGTGCCATCCTTTATTTTATTTTTTTACAGCAAAACCACTTGGGATCAAATTCCAACACAGGAGTTTCACTGAGAAACAAGAATGGTCATTGTCTCCTCAAGCAGATCTGTAACAATCATGGGGCAAAGACTGATTCCATGGGGTCCCTACATGTCAGGCAGTTTGGCAGAGCAACCTGGCACAACATCAAACTCTGTTCTCCAAAGTGTGTCATTTCAGAGTTAAAACCATACAAATAACACTAGAAATAAAGGTCTCTATAACCCTACTTATCTTTGCACACCCGAATTTTAGGATCCTACCCACGGCACACAGTGAGCAAAGCTATAAAATATTGCTTTTCCCTGTCCCACAGTTCATGTGCCACAAAGCACCTCAATGAACTAGTTCAGGATGTTTTGTCATGCTCAAAACTGAAATAAAGCAAAAAGCTCTACTTAAAATCTTTTAAACCTGCACATAGTTCAGAAGTTTCACAGCTCAGCTAGAGGGCACAGTTAATTAAAACATCCAGCCTTTTGAAGCATGAATAAATTTGGTTTATAAGTAGGACTAGACCAGTAAGGGCTGAAATAGGTCCACTTAATCCTGAAAATGCTTTGTTTTGCTGTGAAAACACAACCCTGGTCTAATGGGCTTCTCGACCTGAACACCCCCAGAGATCTGCTGGACACCAGCACCACTACTGTCTGTGCCAGGACACGAGCAGAGCACCCCAGCCAGAGCTGGGAGCAGAGTCAGCTGGGCTCCCCAAGGACAGGCTCAAGCACTGTTCCATTTAATGGCAAACAAACACTTTTCCAGATCCCCATGGCATTCAAAATTCCTGCAATTCAAACCCAACAGTCTCGTCCTGAGGAGAATTTCTTCACAACCTCAACGTGCTATAGTCAAAATTTGATTTCTTTAAATCTGTTGGGCTGCTGCTGTTGCTGAAGAACTGTCAGTTTTTGAAAGCCAAAATATATAGTTTATACAAACAGTTCATAAAATCAACTCCCAGGTGGTAAAAAGGTTCATTAAATGAAAGAAGGTTTATCCAATTCAGACCAACCCAATGGAAAAAGGCTCATTTGAGTGATGCTTTGCCATCGGATTTTCCTCTGCAAACCTGACAACATATTTGAAAATACTGTGACAGGATTTTCCTGAAAACATTACTATCTAAGAGGTATAAAATTGCCATTTTCAGAATCCATTCCGCGCTGCCAAACTACCAGCACCTCCATTTAAAGCACTAAAGAACTGTGAGAGGTGATTGATGTTCTCCTCAGCACTGAGGACACAAGTCAGCCCTCCCAAACCTCTTTCTACTGAACAGATTTCATGGATCCCAACACGAGCTCCTTCATCAGGAAAAGGGTTCTGTACAAAGACAGCAGTTTTATTTCCAGTTAAGATCCCCGAGGAGCCTCAGCCATATGTATCCATGAGAAAAAGTCTGAATTTCAGAGGTGTATCTCTGAACTTCTGAATTTACCATTATCTCCAACTTCCTTGGAGATAATTACAGCCTTTTGACAAGGCAACAAAACTGTTACTTTAAGCACCACTTTAAGAAAATTGTGACCAAACTGCTGTAACACTCCAGCACACAATGCAGTGCTGAACACTTCAAATGGCTGTTAATTTAATTTAATTACTCCCCTTTCCTATCCCTTCCTCCTTGAAGCTAAGCAATGCTCCCAAAAATGGCTCATGTCACATCCTGTAGGTATTCCACTTAGGATTCTCAGCTCATAAATTTTACTTAACCAAGGAAGCTTCTTGCAAATATCCAATTTAAGCTTGTGTTATCTGCTACAAGTAATTTAAACACCTGCAGATGCCCAGTGGTATTCTTCAAACACATCTTTCTAATACTTGGTCAAACTAAAAAAAGAAAAAAAAGTACTTTCCACAACACTGCATCCAAATCATGAACTCAGTATTGTTAAACAGCAGTTTTCAGAAAAAAAATCTACTGCCTAAGTGTGTAAGAAAAATGTCACCTTTCAGTCCTATGTTCAAAGTGAAGGGTTAACCCACATTTTGCAAATATCTTTTGCATCATTCTCTGTAGTCTTTGCTAAAGCAGAAAACCCTTTTCTTCAGCCAGAAAACCCTTTTCTTCAGCCAGAAAACCCTTTTCTTCAGCCAGAAGAGGTCATCCATTTTTTGAAATACCCCAGACTGTTAAGCAAACCTATCACAGACACGCAATCTTAATTCTATTAATTAGTATTTTCACTCTATTAAGACACAAATCAAAAACAGCAAGAAAACCAAATGCTTGAGAATGATAAGAAAAATCATTGTTTCAGAAGTCCCAGACTGAATGCTGTGAAATGTGGAATCTAGAGGACTGAGGGAAAAAAATAAAACACCGGAAAAATTAACATCTGCACATGAAAACTGAAGCAGCATGGAATACCTGCAATAGAGAGAGCTCTGCTTTGGACACCTGGATACAGCTGTAAATCTGAAATAAAACTCTGGTCCATGGGCAAAGACTCCCTAGGATCTAAAAACTCCTGTTAGGGAAAACACACTAACACACAGCATTTGTCCTCAAGAAAGCATTTGCACTCCTTCCAGCAGAAATGCATTGAAAATTCATTGAAAATGAATTCTTTACCTGCAAACCGCAGAGGGGCATCTTTGTCCAGGGCTATTAAAGGAGGGTCCAAGAGCACCGTGTTGTCATTTTCTGTAATTATGCCATGATAGGTGGTTTCAATCCATGGCTTGTGCTTGTTAACTGAAAGGAAAACAAAGTACAAAGTCAAGCTGTTTGATAGTTTCTTTTAAAAAAATTATTTACAATACTGATTTCAGTGTTTTCCTCTTTTATTTTTTTCTAATTCTGAATCAGCATTTTACTAAATTAAAAATATCTGAGACAAAATCCTGGCTAGGTATGTTCAGAGGAGCTGAGTGTCCCTGTAGACTTTCCAAAAGTAACTCAGAGAATCTAAATTAGTTTCTAACTATGCTGGGATTTATGATGGCCCTGAAGTGCAATTCAAAAACCTTCTACCAGTGACGGGGAGCCACTGCCACCAGTGCCAAGTGTGACACCAGAAAAGCCTGCAGTCAGCACCAGAGGAGAAAAGCCCAGCCAAGAGATAACACAAGGGTTTGTTTACACTCTACTGCCCTCCAACTTGGAAAACTTGGGATCCAGCTGCTGGACCACTCTGCAGAACATGAAGGCTTGTTCTAGTTTCAGCATTTTGCCCTGTATGGGGTTTTTGATGAAGAGCACAGGTGGAAAAGAGATCAAACATAAGTTATGCAGTAGTTAAGAGACAGGGAAACCCCACTAAAAAACTGCCCCTGAAAGCATCCTTCAACTCTGCACAGAACCTGCCAAGTGAGCACTTGAGCCTCTTTCCAGATGACTGGAATTCTCTGCTGCAGAGAAATGCAGCAACTCTCCTTGTCACCTGGCAAAAAGAGTTTATTCTGGTACATCACCAAAGATGCAAGACAAAATCAGACATTATCTAATAGGTTACCACCTACTAGGTGACAATCCAACACGAGAGTGCTTTGATTATTAAATATTTAGCTTTATGTTATGCTCCCAAAGATATATAAAGCTCACAGTCCACAGAACCAGTATATGTGGTGTAACAACTAATTCTCTTGACAGTTGAACATCCCATTTCTCCTGGTGGAAGTCTCTTCATGCTGAGGTTCAACACGTATCCATTTCACTTAAATTGTGTCAAGCAATGTATATTTGTTACTTAAAAAACACACTTGGGCTAGTCTTGATTCGTAAATACTGTCGAGGAGCACGTTTAGATGTATAGCCAAATATTAGAAATGCTTTGCTGGAGGTTACAGCAAATACACCAGACAGCATTCAATAGGCAACATCACCCAGATTTTGGTCTTCATGAGATCAAGAACTTACAACTTATGAAATAAATGCCTGTGCAATCACAGCAAAATACACACCACAGCCAGAACACTTTCACACAGCTGAGTCCCCCTCTTTCACCTCTGAAGAATTATATAAACAGACTGTCAAGAGGCAGAGATGTAAAGCTAACCCTGACTCCTGAATCCTGCCTCTCCCACAAACTAAAATGGATTCATGTCATGTGCCACATGCTACCCAGGGGAATAAAAAGCAGGGATAAAAGGACACTTCAATAAACAATTAAACCTAGAGAACTCATACAGGAAACCATAATACTCCCAATATGCTTTCATGTGCAATCTTTTACTGGTTAGCAGCAACAGCAGACAGGATATATCATCTTCATCCAGAACAATGCACCAAGGGAGGACTCACAACAAACTATTTTAATGCAAACAGTGTTTAATTGCTGCCTCGTGGTTTTACTCAATATGGCAACACACCCTTTATTGCTTCCATAGGCACACTTTGAATATCCAGCCCACCAAAGAGCCAGTTAAACGCCAACCACATTATTGTATTTACCCAGAGAGGTTCCCTGTGCTGAACCCTCCCAGAACCTGGTGTGTCACAACAAACCTGGTCGTGCTCAAAGGCACCTCAGAGGGAAGGAAGGTGCCAGTAACTGCTACAGCCTGAGGCTCCCATGGAAACCTGTCTGGCAGTTCAAACCTGGTCTCAAGAAAAGTGTCTCACCAACACAGCTTTGGCTTTAGGAGCACAAGGAGGTCACAGCTGTGTAATTTTCTCTCCATTCATCTGGGGCAGTTACACCCCAACTGATGAGATCTGAATCCTTTCGTGGGTTTATCTTAGTCCTTGCAAGGATCTGGTATAAAATACTAGAACAGATTTCTGCCAGAAAAAAAAATCTCCATCTCCATTCTAACGCTTCTGAATGTACATTACAATAAAAAAAAAAATAAAGCACTGAGAAACCTTCTCCTAATTTAGCAACCTACTAAATCCCACTACTGCTGGGTAGGGAGTTCTATAAATCCTTGAAGTACTGTAACCACATATGAACAGAATTATGAGCATGCTGAGCATCTGCAGAGTCTAGTGAACCTTCAAACAGCAGGCCCGGTTGAAAGCAAAGTCATGTCCTTTTATTGTGCTGCAGACAATAAAATCATAAAGCTTAAACCCCTTTGTGTTTCGGAAGGCTAAAACATCACCAGATTTTAAAACATAAAGCTTAAATCCCTTTGTGTGTATGAAGGCTAAACATCACTGGATTTTAAAACACCAAACTTACTGCTGAATATCCAGGAAAGGTCTGTTATCCGTATTTGTGATCTACTGACTCCAGCATAACCACACACTGGAAGGAATTCTCAAGCCAGCATTTGAAATACGAGGCACAGCTCACGAGCCACACATCCCTGCTTCCCTTCAGCCAGACTGAACCAAGCACTATTCTGATCTCAGACAGCTTCAATATTATTAAATGTTGGACTGAGAAGAGGCCAAAAAATGGGAAAGGACAGTTTAATTGTCACAAAACTCCTGCAATCTCCAGAGGAAGTTGTCCAAAGCCAGACTGTTTAGTTCAAACCAAACCAGCCGGCCTATTCCAAGCCTGACACTAACAAAGTGCCCTGAGCTGTTAATCTCTTGCCATTTAACCGGGATAAACTACACTGGTTTCCTTGAAATACAATATTCACACTATCTGTAAGCGCCTCAACTGGAATCTGCTGTAAATCCCAACGAGCATTTAATCCAGTCAAGTGGGGGAAGCTGCACTGGCACAACACAGAACGCCGACTTCTCCTCAGCTTTCAGTGGGCAGGAGGAAATTCCAAGGACAGCTGAGCATTCCGCTTTCTCCAGGTGGCAAATTGAATGGTAAAGCTCCTGCCAGAGCCTTCCTTCTGCCAGTCCTGATGGAACACTCACCCACAAGGTGAGCACCAGCCTCCTGTCCAACTCGGTTTATCCACAGACAATTGCTGCTGAGCCCCAGGGGAAGGGCACTGGTGCCTGACGGGGTGTGTGCCTCCAACACAGGGCTTTAAAACCCCGTTTGCTCCGGGAAAACGGGCTCAGCTTTTCCTAAAACAGAACACAGCAGCTTTCCTGACTGTTCTGCAGCAAAGGGAATGTGCCTCAGAGCAAGGATGCTTCCCAAGAGCAATGGCTGATGCTGCAGAATCCAATCCATCAGATAACCAGCAGCAACCTTTTCCTGCTGTTTAAAGGAATTAATGAATGCAAATGACTGTGTAACAGGGAAATGGGGTTTAGGGCTAATATGGAAACTTTAATCAGAAGCTATTAAGACAATCAGAATTAATTCAGTTCTATAATCTGAAAGCAAATATTAAAATTAAATGTACTTATCAAAGTCCTTTC